ATTAATAGTCTTACAATAGAAAAGTCCTATATCTGCGACGTGTTTTTACTTTGCTTATTTTTATTAGTCGGACTAGCCGAAGGCGGTCCGACTTTAAATTTACCTTTTAGCCTATCAATCTATCTATCTATCTATTATGTCGAGTTTGGACCACCGGAAGTTAAGAATTTAATAATTAACTATTGGGTTGGCTGTGTTATTACATGACCGGAAGCTCAAGCGTATTGATGTACGAATATCGTTAGTAAATGTTCTATGCTACTTGGCTTTTATATGTCAAAAAAACTATTCGTTTTACAAATGTGGTATCTGTGATCTCATCGGAATGCGTCTGTCTATAGGCATTAGAAGTACGCGCATGTGCAGATCGCATAGAGTTTCGAGTTGTATGCTTACAAAACTGAATCGATATCCTTTCTAGTGTTAGACAGTCTTGTGGGGGCAAAGATTTCAAATTAGAACAAGAAGAAACTTTGTTTATCAATAACAGAAAGGCGAATTTAATGATTATAGGCATCTTTTTCCTTGTAAAGTTTTTATTTTCTTTGCCTGAGAGGTCAACGTTTGAGATATCATGATATCACTTAGCGAGATATTTGTCTAGCGTAGTTGCTTTTATCAGTCAAAGCAAGCCACGTTCTTATCGCGTTAAGTCTCAATAAATTTTGCATATTTTGAACTAGACGCTCTTATTAGACCGTGAGTTCGGCTGTTTTGGAAAAAAAAGTTAAGAAATATTTTTTTCCATGTAATATCCTGTCTTTCTCAATTTTCACAAGCAGCTAGTCCGACTTCACGCTCCCAGAGCGTCTAGTTAACTTACTTTTCATATATGCTGTTACTGCCGGTTTTATAATTTGTTTTGTTGCCGTGATACTATCAGCACAAAACAAAAACTTCTGAAATTATTTACTAAATTGGTGGGATGAAGCTTAAAGATAAACAGAAGAATGCCGGAATATTTRCCTACACACTCCCATCGAGATTGAAAATTCTGAGCAAAGTTTTAGCAGTCAATTAAGTCTAGATTGATGCGATACCGCAAAATAAGAATAAAAAAATAATAAAGAAGCTCAGTTTTAAGTGTTGCTGTACACTTCAATTATCGTGGGTAGAACTTAGGCAACTAGAATAATACCATTCACCTGGGATTGTGACGTACTGCTACCAACTAAATGACGTCTTACTAACGTTGCCTTTTTAGTGTCACTACACTATTTACAAAGAGAGAGATTGAACGCCAAACACGAAAAGTAAGGATGTCAAGACCAAGACGCCGAAATAATTTTGCGGAATAGTTTCGACAAAAGGTACAAATTATTTGAATGATACATTCTTCCAAATAGCTAAGATTATGTTGCTTGATTTTTCTTGCATGGGATGAATCAACATATTGGCRCGATTTTCATAAATGTGGTACGCGTTGTGGCTAAAGCACATTTTCWGCTCATGAGAGTTGGCCTTCGAGGACAGTTTTTTTCGTCGCCTTTTGTATTATATAAGCATTAATTTCCGATTGAAGAACTTTTGTTTTGTTGTTTTCTCACATCCTCAAGTTAAGATTTTGCTGAATTGCTGTGTGTACATGGTTTCTTCAATTTGAGAGCAAATTGGATAACTGGATAATTGTGAAAATCGAATTATATTGCCATGGTTTTTAGTGCTAAAGGACTGCTAAGAGAACAMGTTTTCGTTTGATCTGTTTCCGCGCCAACAAATACCTTTTTCATGCATTTGCYAAAATATTTCTCTTCCAAATACAAACTTTTGTTCTAGAGTGACATGACCAGCTTCCACAAGTTCGCTATGCAAATATTCACTATAATACATTTGCCAAAAACAYTGATTTCTTTTCAAAACGTTAAACTGATATTGATAAACGAAATGCKATTTCCCTTCAACTTTGAAAAAAACAAAGTGCATTCTCAATAAAGCAGTCACAACTTCTTTCATTGTTGTGATTATAAACTATCCTAACTCTCTAGCATAAGTAGGGTTTCCGCGACAAAGATTTGACTAATCAAATAATCAAGCAATAATCACCAAAAGAGCGGATATCCTTTTTCGCGGTTTCGAGCAGAAAAAAATCATATTATCAAAAGTGTAAGTAGTAATTACTTTTTCAAAAGATGCTCATTGAATCTGTGAATTTATGTAAGCTGTAAATTGACAAATATTGAGTTAGTTTTGCCTTTTRTTATTATTTTATTGCATTATTGTACGTTCGAAAACCAAGGCCTATTATRATTAAATTTTAGCTAACTCTGCAATTACGAAGTTTTTTCTTCTCCTCTTTTCCGGCAGCCGGGTGATGAGAAATTAGACGAGAAATTCTAGACARCGSCGGTGACGTAAATATATTCATATCAGGGTTTCTCTTTTCCTTCAAAATGTGTTTTCAATAGGTTTTTGACAACAAGCAATAAAGATAAGTGATTTTGATCAAATTTACTAATTTTTACTTGCAAGGTCATTATTGGTCCAATACAATCAGGTGTTCATCAGSTGAGACACAAGCCATGATATATCGCTTAGTTGCGGCTTTCCCCGATTATATGCTTATCGATCAAGAAGACCGCCATCATTAACCTGTAATTCGAAGGTGAGGATGAACAGCGTTGGCTCAGTAGAACAGGCGGCTTACATTAGTGAAACAATTCAATATTATCTTTTAGCATTTTTAACTGATAAATAAAATACACTAACAACGAAGAAAGATGGAAAACATGCAGACACAGACGCAAAAAAAGACATAAGTAAATATCAATGATTCCATACTCCTCTGATATTATAGTGGGTGGGAAGTCGACACTAAAAAATAGCCAATGCAATGACTTTGACGAAAGTTCGCAGATGTTGGTTAGGGAACCATGAAACGTCATACATTAATACTTGACGTCATGTGACGTCATGTAAGGATATTTGATGTCATTGAAATACAAGGGATAGTTAATTATTGACCGCCCAGGGCCTCTTAGTTAAGAGTCCCTCTTCGACATAATTGTTAATTGAACACTTTGACAAAATGACATTGAGAATCTTACTTCGAGTCTTTTCTATTTTATGAGGCTTGCTAAACTCACTATTAGTCAGACCACTGAAGCGTATAAAATGATCTTAGAACACTTTAACAAGCTGTGAAAAGAATGTTTAGTTTCTTGTTATCTGGCGTACAACCGCACACACATTTCAAGAGTGTAGTTTTAGTATTACTTATTTTTTTCCGCCCTTGAGATGAATTCAGAGTTGCCTGACGTGMTTCTAACCGTTGGTTGACATTTTTGATAGAACTTGATATAGGGAAGTCTATTATCTGTACAAGTACTTAAGACAAGGCTCTTATCTGATCTCATTTATGATCAAATTCTAATTTCAAGTCAAATATACTGATTGTGGRAGATAGGAAGGTCGCCTCTGACCCAGTTTCATTTGCGCACATCGAGTGTTTCAAACAAGGCAATGTGCATCGACGCATAAAAGCATGATGGGAAATGTGTGTCGGCGCATTTATTTTTCATATTCAATAAAACTATCCCTAAAATTCGTTTGTGTTTGTGTTGTATATGTTCTATCAAATTCACTGCAAAACAAATTCACCAATGATAATCAAGCAATTAGCCGATCAATTAATTACTCCATAAGTCACCAACACCAAAATACACGCTGCAATACATCGGGGCTTGAACTGACGAAGGTTTACTAGTCCATGAAACCAATATATAAAAAATCTCCAAGATCGAATCTGTTCAAAATGTCTAGCGCTTCAGATAAATTGATTTGAAAATCGCTGAAGTAATGATATTTCATACTTTGAAACAAGATGGTTTTAAGTTTCCAGTCAAACCGTGATTCTCTATGAGGGTGTGTTTATGGTTATCAAAGAGGTTTTAGACGTTATTCCTCTTTCATGTAAACCGCTTCCTGAGCACGGAACAAGCATAGGTACATTTCTAGACAGCTCGTGATTAYAGCTACTTGGTTGAGAGCTTGATTTCATCGCAGTCTTTCATTAAGAAAGTCACGAAAAACAATATAACAGCTGAATTTCAATACAGAATAACAATGTAGGAATGAAAAACTGGATTTACTGTGAAACTATAGTCAGCTTATCATTTTAGAAACATAGAAACAAAGAATTATTTTATTTGAATTCCCGCGTCTATTCTCTTTCGATGCATAACTTCAATTTAGGAACCGCCAATAAAGACATCATGAAAGAGCGCATACAGTTTAAGTGGAGTTTGAAAGAGGAAATTATTCTTTTCGACATTTGTTTGACAATCCTACATATGCATTAATACACGCTTCCTTTTTGTTTTGCTGTAATATTTGGCTTTGCAATTGCATGGTTTAGTCATCATGTTAAACTTATCAATAAATCGTATGAACACGTCGCTTTTCGGTGGATCGAAAAAAGATCACCTCAATCCCAAAGTGACACAAATGTTATTCAATATATAAAACTGAGATTGCGATCGCCACAATTGKGAAAATTTTGATGAATAAGAATAATTCCTACAATCAGCGCAAGTGCGGTGATTCTCATTGCAGATTTCAAGTCGCCAAGTGCGCAAGCGTGTGTTAAGACCTTGTATAATAACTGCACACACACAAAAAATGCCCTGGCGAGTGAAGAGCCACTCTTAAAGAAAAAACAATTTGTCCTTGTCGGTCATTATTCACGCTCGTCGAAGTGGTCCTATTTTTGTTTTGAAAGTTCTAAATGTAAACTTTCCCTCCTCTGGACGTTTAAAGATTTATGGATGTCATACAGGAATTTAATAAAAAGAGAGAGCTTTAAAAGATCATCTTAAGACCTAGTGGCGCAAATTGTAAGGATGTAGGAGGAAGGACGCGATCTAACTGAATTATCAGATAGTTAAAGCCAAGGTATGGACATATTAACTATGGTGTGGGCGATTATAAAAAAAGTTTTTCCTTGTACGATTGTTAGTATAAAAGAAACGTATATTTTAAAAGACTTAAATGCTAAATTAAACAATTATTCGATATGTTGATATTTTGTGTGGGCAAATTCATCGCTGATATATATCTAACTAGACATCAGCAAAAAAAWAAA